ATGCCTGCTCTTGACTTGAGTGTCCATGAAATCTATTGACACCGAGTCTCCCGGCTGATCCGGAATGGGCAAGGGTCTGAGAAGACCTAACGGGGCACGCGTAGAAGACTTGTTACGCTGGCAGACCTTACAACTGCGAACATACTCTACGCAATCATTCTTCATCCCTGGCCAGGTATACGCGCGCATCAGATTGGCTAAGGTCTTTTGCCAACCAAAATGACCCTCCGTGTCATGGCATTCTCCCAGGATCAGACTGCGGATCTCTTCGCTATTGGGGATGCACAATCGGTCAAAAACATAAGTCTTCTCAAAAAGCAACCCTTCAGTAGTGCGGTAGTTCGGCTCGGTCTCTGGGGCCTCCTTGACTTTCTTAAGGAGCTCACCATAGATAGGGTCTTGCGCATAGGCTCCTCTAACCTGCTGCTGCAGATCCTTTTCTATATCGAGGTAATGTACTATTGCCCCAAAATAATCAGCTCTTCTACTCAGAGCATCCGCGACTACGTTGTACTTCCCTTTGACAGGTTTGAGCTCGAAGTCGTACTGATCTATCTCTGCGGCCCACCTAGTAAGCTTAGGTGTCATCTTGGCCTGCGTCCTTAACCATCGTAATGTTTCATGGTCAGAATAGACTTTGAAGTGCCTCCCAAGCAAGTAGTGCTTCCAGTGGCCTATCGCTTGCCTGAGAGCGTAGAGTTCCCTCTCGTAGGTAGATGTCGCGACCTTCTCTGAAGGCATCCTGGCGAACATGAACTCTACGGGTCTATAGCCATTGCCATCGTCTTGCTGTAACACTGCACCTATGCCGTACTGGCTAGCATCCGTAGTAACGACAAAAGGCAAGGACGGATCGGCGACTTTAAGGAYTGGATACTCTATTAATGCCTGCTTTAACTTCTTCATGGCAGACKTGCAGTCCTTATCCCACTTCCAGATGGTCTCCTTCCTCAACAATCTGCGAAGGGGCGCAGTGATGGTGGAGAAGTTCCTCACGAACTTCCTGTAGTAATTAGCTAAGCCCAGGAACGAGCGCAACTCTGTCAACGTACATGGCGTGGGCCAATCTCTAATCGCTGCGATCTTGCTATCCTCTGGCTTAACGCCATCTTCGTCTAAGACGTGGCCTAAATACAAAACTTGTGTCTTCGCCCAATCACACTTCTTTGCATTGATCTTGAAGTTAGCTTCCCTCAGCTTCTCCACGACCTGCCTGAGATGACCCTGGTGCTCTTCGAGGGTCCTACTAAACACGAGAATGTCATCTAGATAAACTACGACAAATCTGTCTAACCATGGCCTAAACAAATCATTCATACAGCGCTGGAACGTAGCTGGCGCGTTGGTTAGTCCAAAGGGCATCACTATAAACTCATAATGCCCGTACCTAGTCCGAAAAGCTGTCTTATACTGATCATCAGGATGTACCTCTATTTGATGATATCCGGACTTTAAATCTACCTTAGAGAAATATTTGGCCCCCTGCACTCGATCTAAGAGATCGTCTATCCTCGGCAGTGGCTCAACATTCTTCACTGTAATAGCATTCAGACCCCTATAGTCTATGCACATTCTCAGCTCTCCCTCTTTCTTAGGAACAAAGAGAACAGGCGCTCCKAAAGGGGACGAACTGGGCCTAATCCAACCCTTCTCGAGGAGCTCGTCTAACTGCTTGCGAAGCTCCTCTAACTCCCGTGGGGACATCCTATATACAGCGCCCTTAGGAGTCCTACTGCCAGGCTCTATCTCAACACGGTGCTGGATGGGCCGCGGTACCACTCCTATCGGCGGCTCGGTTAGGTCTTTGAACTCTTCCAGCAGCTTGGCAATCGCAGGGTCCATCGGTTTTTCTTCCGTAGGCTCAGTCACTGGCCTCACATAGGCAACAAAGACCTGCTCATTCAATTTCTCCTTCTTCACTAATCTGGCGAACGCGGGGGCACTCAGGCAGCAATGCGCCAAGGAATTCTCTACCCCTGACAAATGGAACAGGCGGGCAGTCTTAGCCTCGCCTGAGGAACTAGGGAGCCTACACTCGTGCTCCTTGAGATGGAGCGTCGCCCCGGCTGCCTCTCCCCAATCCATTCCCAAGACAATCTCAAATGGGAGGTTGTCTTCTACGAGGAGAGTCAGGGAGTGGAGGACCTTCTCCACTTTCCCCTCTTTCTCTAAGCGGAAATATGCCTGAACTCCCTCTACGTAATCCTCTACAACCATAGTGCGATTGTCCGCGAGGATACTAACTATGGAGTCTATCAGTTTCTGGACTTTAAGTCCCAGCCTCAACTTCTGCAGCGCTTTCTTACTAATATAGCTGCGGGTGGCCCCTGAATCTACTAAGGCCCCTACTCTACTTCTAAAAATCTCTGTATCTAGCAATATAAGTTGCCCTTTATTCTCCTTCTTCATCTTGGCCCAGGCGGGCATCCTCTCTTTCAATTTTTCGGCCACGCCTGTGAGGGAGGTGTCTAGCGAAACTTTAACAAAAGCAGTTTTGGGACAGCTATCTAGACACCGGCCTGCAACCTCTGCCATAGGCACATGTGGTGCGGGAGTCTCCTGCCGGCTAGCGCTATGTTCCCCACATGGCCTAATGGTAGGGGCAGTTGCTACCCCTACCGGCGGCTGCCTTTTGGCCCTTGGGCAGCCGTTCGGGTCTCTCTGTACTTAGGACAATATTTGATGATGTGGCCCGGGTCACCGTAGAAAATGCACTCGCCCCGGTCCAATCGTTGTTGCCATAAAGCCTGGTCCAAACCCAAAGATTCCCAAGGCCTACCCTGMGGTAGCCCTGGGTGCCATCCTCCTACCCTATAGGGAGATCTATTCCTAGGACGGTTTTGCGGGGGACCTTGACCCCTGCCTCCCACTTGGCGGTTTCCTCCTCTGTCGCCAACCCCCTGATCGCCCTGAAATCGGCTCCCTGAGGCCCGGCCCCCTTGGCCCTGGCCTCTTCCTCCTTGCGTTCTCCCTCCAGCCGCGACAACAGTGTAAGTCCTCCTCTGGCCCACACCGCTGTCCGCCTCCTCTAGCCCCCACTCAATCTGATCGTAGGGAATCTCATCCACACTACCCTCATCTAAAGTCAGGACAAGGCTATCCTTGGTCTTTACCTGCCCTGAGATAGTGCGGCCTTTCCATTGCTTTCCCTTGTCCAAATCCTTATGCCAAAAGGTGGACAGGGACACTGACTTCACTTCAAAAGTCACCACCTCACGACTAAGGGAATCGTAATGGTGGCAGGGTCTTCGCTCTTCGCGAAGAACTGCCCTCGAAAGGCTTCGGGCATAGCCTGGTAAAAGAGGTTAACCAATTGGCCCTTTGTGACCCCATGGTCAGGGACGGCCACCAACTCATCCATTGTACCCTTGAGTGCCCTGGCACTCTTCCATTTACGAGAATGGATGGTTTGGAGCTTGTCTGAGGCCTTGACACTGCGAGCGACATCAGCAAATCGCTCGCGCAGCAACTTGAGGAATTCGGTGAGGGACGTAAATGAGGAGTACGCAACTGGATCGTCACTACAGTTGGCAGCACGAACAAGGGATCTCGCGAAACTGGCG